GTATCTATACAAATATCATAAACAATTACACTATAGTCACTAAAAAGCATAACACAATTAGAATCTTATCATCAGAAAACACTGTCTTTCTGTCAGCATCTCCTACTTGAAAAAATCAAGGAAGATCTAATAACATTGAAAGGAACATGCATTATATGCTTAGAGACAAAGATCCTTGTTTGCAAAACCTCGAAAACAAAAGGACCAAATAATAATAATTAGGCCACTTCCTACCAGCATAAACATAACATGATACTAACAACAACACTAGCCAAACCAACTATGCAACACTATGAACCTTTTGAGAGGATATATGTATTCTGTTACTGTTACATCCTTGTTGTTTTGATTTAGTTATCTTCCGATATGTTGCATGAAGAAAGAATACATGGTGCACTCGCGAGCCAACAAATATAGCCAAACCTAGAGGAACATGGACCTCTAGAAAATATTTGATTATTTAAACTTCATTTTTGTTTACAGTTAGAAAGAATAAATTTTTTTTGTCAAGAATTGATCTAACCTGAGCTACATACCACAATATGTAACTTCTTACTACTTAGAAGTTTAACACTATGGCTCAGAGCAAAAGAAAAGATTATGTATTAATAGCAGAAATGAAATATGACCAAAAGAAAGCTTAGTTACTACTGTTTTCACCCGAATTTGAAAGCCTCAAACCGCTTGAATGGCGTTGTTTTTGCCACTGTTTAGATCAGAGCCACCAACTGGAGTATTTGTGTGGAATGCTGATTGTCTTGAGGGTTCTCCTAACAACTTCAAGGAAAGAGGGGAAGGCTCTCTATCACGCACCTGTGTTTCCGCAATGCTCAAATGAGACATCCCCACGAGTTCATCAACGTTGACGGGTTCCTTAGGAATGACCGGTATAGGCTTAAGAACCTGATGATGACTATGATGAGATGTGTCTCTACCGGTGGATACTTCAAAGGGAGCTCCAGTTGATGGCCATATGGAAAATGTGACAGGTAAATAAGATGGAAAGAATCCGTGAGTCATTGGCGTCAATCCCTTTGATGCCATTGTAGTTTCATTGCCCTCTTCTACATTTTCTTCCGGTGTGGTTTCCATTGGTTCATATTCTGTCTTGAGAGAGAGATTTAGTGAGGGTTGTGATTTTCCATTACTAGGTTGTGAGTTTTCAGAAGGTGGAAGTAGTACTTGTTCTTCTGGCATAGAAGTTGAATCTGGACACTGACATGATTTTCAAAAAATAAAAAAGTTAGCTAGAGAGGAAAAAAAACATACCAAGGTGTTTTCTCGAAACAACGTGCTATTGAAAAAAAAAAAACATGTTATGGTATGAAGCACAGACACACCAGACACAACAATGACACTGACACATCGACACTAGTAATAATTTGAAAAAATTAATAAATTAAATATAATCACAAGTGTCGGTGAGAGTATTTGACACGAACACAGATACGCCTTTTTTTCATAGGTGTCGCGGTGCTACATAGGTAGTGATGATAGGAGAACACTAGCTTCCCTTTCTATTAGACTACATATACATATCAGACATATAAGCATGTGCCTGCATGAAGATTGCTCAAAATTAGATATAATGAATGAAGACTAACCATATCCGGAGCCATGTCGAAAAGGCTCGAACGTCTCTTTCTCCTGGTAGCATTACTCTGACGGATGAAGTACTTCTGTGCATGACTTGCTACTTGAGTAGGGGTCCTTGACACGACGTAATTACGTGCTATCCCACGCCAGTCTCCTTTGCCTAGTTTATGGAGTCCAACCAAAAACATCCGATGTTCTTCTTCAGTCCATGGAACACCTAAAACACACAAAACCGCACATTGAATAAAGTAATCCAATCATCAAGACAAAAGACAATTATTCACAGTTACAATCGCAATTTTCTGTGGCATTTAGCCCTTAATTTTTCTAGTAAAGTAACAACGCAAGGATATAAAAAACCTAAGATCATGCATGATTCAGCCGCCAGTACTAAAGCCAAAGAGAGCCCCAATTACATGAAGTATTCTGCTGCTTAAGCTGATCATAATTAGCACTCATATGCCGCTTCTAATTTACCGCATTTTAGAAGAAAAAAACTTAATAATGCCCATAATTCCTTCTAATCACACTCCATAATAAACCTCCAAAGTGAATAAAGAAAATGCTCAACATTTTCTATATTTGCAAGATATATGAATATATTTACTTCTCTATTTAATCATTTATCTATTTATCAAAAGATATTGCTCAAAAACTTGAAAACAGTTTTTTTTTTATCGGTAGACAAAATGGTAATAAACAGTACGACCATTTTGCAACACTTTTTCACGGGCAGTCCAAGATTTTTGGCCGCACCTTCTAAAATGTTTGCCTCGTCCCGTCCTACTTTTTGCAGGCGCGTGAGCATTAACATATTTTTTTGCAATTTCTACGCTTTAAAAGTACAGTGTCCATGGGGACCGCCCTACCTCACCCTCATTTTTTTCGAGACAGACTAAAGTTTTAGGCCAACGTCCAGAGTTCAAACCCTAGTGTTGACGTAAACCTAACAATATTGACTTTTTACCGGTTGAGCTAAGGACAGAAGAAAACATTTGAAACATTTGAAACATTTGAAAAAGTTACATGCACAATTGTTGTCAAAGCATAAATTACCAATGAGAATTTAGAACATTCCCTTGTTTGTCTTACTATTAATTCAATCGCTACAAGCTCCCTTCAAACAAAATTGACATTAAATGTTCCGTAGCTATTCAAACTACTCATGAATATTAATAAACATTAAATTCCTCCACCAATCAAACAAAATGACTTCATAAAACATAATCACGGAAACAGTTCATTTTTTTTTCTTTTTTTTTTTCAAATTATTTTAAAAACAATATATACATTTATGTGTGATTTTAATTAAAAAAAGACTAAACATAAATAAGAATCGTGCATATGGTAAAATAAATAAAGAAAAAGAAAAAGAAAAAAAAAACCTTTTTTTCTGTCGCTGCGGCGGATAGCGAAGCTGGAAACATTGGCGGGGTCATCAGACAAATAACCTTCCGGTTCATTCGGCGGGTCAGAACACGGTGAACCGGGATTAACAATCGAACCGGGGTTAACAGACGAAGGAGAAGAACAATGATGATGATTCGCGAGCGTCAGGTTCCCCATACTCGCACTCTTTTTAATAATCGATCCATCCGTCAATCTAACACCAAAAAAGCCTGACCCCGCCGCCGCCGCCGCTGCCGCTTCCGCCACCGCCTCTCGACGGACATGTTCGAGAGTTATGACCGTTGTTGCTGCAGTGAGAGCACCGCCGAGTCATACCGATTCACCGCCACCGACTCGGTTTAATGAAGAAGCAAAATAATCAACAACAATACAACCTATGCTATATTGCTATATTTTGAATGATATAGAATTAATATTTGATAGATGAAAAAAAAAATGCATGCGTTTTGGTTAATTAAGGAAATGACGTTGGATAATTCTGGATTATTTTTGTTAAACCTGAGGTTATATCTGGAATTCTAACTTAACGTCTTAAATGGGAGTATAATAGTAGAGCGCGGTGTATCGTTGGTTTATTATTTGAAAAATCCTATTTTACCCTTTTCGTGTTTAACTAATCGATTTTGAAAAATAAGCAATTATAGCGTGTGATGAGAGAGAGTTGGTCAAAATGGATTAGCTTGGTGAGTGTTTGATTATTTAAGGAAAAGAATGGTTGGAGGAGGCAAAATTGTTATCTTTTTATCGTGTAAACAAACATGGATATGGCAAAAAGCGTTTTGATTTTCTTTTCTTGTGCTATATATTTTGAAAATCTAGTTATTTGAAGAATTATTTGTGGAGATTAAATTGGAAATAGGAAATCTAGAAATGGCCAATGGATGTTGTTGGGGATGAGAAATAATAGGTCACGTGGAGAGGTTAGCTGCCTTACGTGGAGTTTAAGATATTACATGTCATATATCTATTTATTCACCTAATATGATCCAAAAACAAAGGAATGTTTCTTTATTCTACTAATTATTCGCTCTCTTTTTTTCTTCTTGCAAATATACAATATTCACTTTCAAATTAATAAATGTGACACTAAATTATCATCTCTCCTTTTAAATAAATTAACAATTTGTTTGAATGAATTTTAGTTTTTAATTTATAAAAATTATAACTCTATTTTGAGTTGTGTTTAATCAGTTTGTTTATTAAAAGTTTGTTATTTTATTTTTTTAATTTTGAAGTTAAGTTTATTAAACGTCAAATAAATTTGATTATTTATTTATTTTCGATCAATTCTTAAATTAGATGTAGTGTTGTTAATCTGATTTTTTTTTATATTAAATATTATTTATTATATATTATATGATATGCAAGTTTGTTATGTAAAAAAAATTATTTTAAAAAAAAATTGAAGAATAAAATAAGATAAAATATATTTAATATTTTTTTTTTCAAAACTATTTTTGAGACAACAAAATGAAATATTATGTTGAGAAAAATTATTTTTGAGATTAAAAAATGAAAAAGTATTTTATAATAATTTTTTAATTTATTATATTTTATTTTAGATATAATTCAAAATATTTATATTACACAATTTAAATATGAAACTCATGATATATTTTTTAATTTTTTTTATCATTTATATATTTTATTTTATATATATGTATCATTAATGTAAATACTTAAGGTCTAATATATTTTTTGGTCATTCAAATTTATTTTGTATTTTATTTTATTTTCCTATTTAATATTTGTATCATTAATGTAAATACTTAAGGTCTAATATATTTTTTGGTCATTCAAATTTATTTTATATTTTATTTTATTTTCCTATTTAATAAATATTATATGTTAGTCCCTTAATCAACTTAATTTTTTTCGTTAAATTTTAAGAAGAAAAAAAATTAATTTTTGCCTATATGAAAGTTAAAGTGGAATTATGTTATCTAACTTGGCTTTTTTTAAATATTTTGAATTTATCCTAATGTCATTTCATTTCACTTTTTCTTATTGGAAGTCCTAATTTCATTTGTCTCAATGGAAAAGACACAGAGCTTTTCTCTAAGAACTTTGAGGGTTATGAAGTGAGGATTCGGTCCAATACCTTCATCGTTTCTCACTTGTGGTAATGTTTTGATCAATTCTTTCTTCCAATAGATTTAGGGTTTCTCATATATTTTAAGACACCAAAATATACTGGATATTTGACTCGATTTACACATGTTTTCTTGTTATTTTATCTCCATTTCTAATATTATGTGGGTATTTTATTTGTATTTCAGGTAATTGATCAAATGAGAATCCTACGCGAAGAAACGAAGTAAAATGGAAGGAAATAAAGCATTTTACACTCAAGATGACCACCATGGTGTTCACCACAGAGGTGGCCATGAGTGGTCCACGTCTAAACCTTCACAAAGCCCAAGTCTTGGCCAAATTTGGAACACGGTGTTCGCCATGGAGTGTGTGGCGGTCGCCGCCCCTTGAAAACGTCCAGCAGTTACATTTTGACTTGACTTGGTCTTCCATGCAGCCCATTCACCCCTATATTTTCTCCCACGACCTTGGCAACTTTCCACTCGATTTTTAGGGTTTTGGAACTCCTATAAATAGGTCTTTTATTCATTTTTTTTCATGAATCCAACCTTAGTTACAAACTTAAGTCATATACTGTCGAAATTGTAAGCGATCAACTCTTCACATTAGAGAGTTATCCAACGTTGATTGAGTTTATAATTGAGTTTGGAGCAACTTTTATCGAAGCATTAATCTTGTCGTCATTTTACTTTTCGCATTCAAGTTTCAGCACTTTACTTCCTGTACCAGATTAAAGTCTTTTCGGAGCAGGTTTTTATTTAATTGCATTACCTTTATTTTATCGTCTCTTTATTTGAATTGCACGCTCTTCTTCTACCTTTCTTTTAATTGAATGTTTAAAGTTTATTTTACTATGACTATTTTGTTTAATCACATGATTGAATCAATCGTTTTGGTTTAAATATTTAGCTAAATTTATAAGTGTTAAAATGTGAGGATTATCGATTTGACGGTACTCTGAATCGTTGTACTTGGAGAAATACTATTGGGGCTGTTTTGGTTTTAATCACAATATTTTTAAACTTGACTTTGTCGGTTACTACGAAAATATAACCATTTTTATGACAGATAAGATCGAAAGTCGTCTGGTACAAAAGATTAAGGTTGTTTAGTTTTTAATTGATAAAAACTGTGAAAGCTATTTATTAATTAATTAGGAAAATTAATATTTAATAAAGTACTTTTAAACCTATTTTTGTACGCGTATGTAAGTTTAAGGTATGGTTGACCGAGTGAACACCAGGAACCTTTAAAGGTTTATTTTCTAATCAAAACAACTTTTCATCAGAGCAAAAGAGTTTAATTTCTTAAAATAGGTTTTACTAATTTAACGTATAAAGCGCCTACCACCGTGACAGTGGATGGTATAGTTTAGAGAGTAAAATCTGATTCTAAATACATGAAAACGACTGTTCATGTTCAAGTAATTCTTTTCAAAGCAGAGAATATTGTCTCATAGTAATTCAATTTATGAATAACGAGAGTATCATTGATGAAATCCATATTCCAACATTGCATTTCTGATATTAATTTGAATCTTTCATTTATTTTATTTGCATAACTCCAACCTTTATTTTATTTATTAGCCTTAGATAAATACCTTAACGATAGAAAACGATAATTTGACTATTAGGTCTCTGTGGGTTTGACACTCTTTATATTACTTTGACATTTTTCTTGCACTTACGAAATACCCCCATCAATATTTCATACTTTCTTTCTTTATCAATAGTGTTATTCCGTTTTAAGAACCAACATCATAGCATAACGATTTTGTCAGATTTAAGAAATGGAAAAGAAAAAAACAATGGTACCTCTGGTTTGTCACGGTCACCCTTGTCTAGTTGTTGATCTATTTTACGGTCTTGTTATTCCTGATGGTTTCTTCCTTACTAGTGCAAGCAAAGGTATGCTAGAACTTCGATCTATACACATTGTATTACTCTTTGTGGTGGTGAAGGGGGTGTTGTTTCTGAAAATGTTCTTGCTCTGAATCCTCAATAGTTTCGTCAAATTGGGGTTTTGGGGAGTTAAATCTTCGGTGTATCAGTGGAAATTGAGATTTTGTTTATAGTATTTCATCTTTGTTTTTAAATTTTAAAGAGAAAACGAAGAGATTGGATTTTCTCTTTTTCATTTACAATTAAATAAGTGTTTTTAAAAGGGGAAATAAATTTTCAGTTGATAACATATTAATACTCTTTCTATTCTAAATTATAAGAGAAATTCACTTTTTAGATTCATTGAATAATTAATGTATCTTATTTATATAGAAATCGGATACATTAATTATTCAATTAATTTAAAAAATGAATTTCTCTTATAATTTATGACAGAGAGAGTAGTCCTTAAGACATGTAGAAGCTTTGATCTTGGATGCTAATGATATTAATGCAGTGTTGCATGTTCACTTCGTCCTAGTAATGTCTTTGGTCCTGGTTCACAGAAATTGTGCCATATTTTCTAAAGTTAGCAAGACATGGTCTCACAAAGGTACATTGGTTAGCATTAATGGCTATCAACTCTTGAGTAATAATTTTTCATTTTAGTTAGTTATAGAAATTGTATCATATTTATGGGAATGTTGTTCATGCCCATATCTTTCCAGAAGAAGCCTTAAATTTTCAAACAGTTTATGTGGCTGGAAAGGTGTATATATATTGTTTCTATAAAAAAGTTGTATATATTCAATGCCAATGAGGTTGTCTTAACTGCTTTATTTGCTATTTAAGCATATCAAACATTTTACTACTTAATATGTAGGCATTTTTTATCACGAAGCTTGAGTCTATGAAATTCTTGGAATTTGTATCACTTTTATAAGAAGGTTTTTGATATAAAAGATATGAATCACTGCAATAAATAACACTTTTTATTATGAAGATTTTATGTCATTTAGAAAAAATCAAAGTTTTACTCTAAGGCATGTTATATTTTATTTTAAAAAAATAATAATTATTTCTTCGGTTATTTTAAAAATCGAAGTGATATATTATTTTGGACATGCTTTGAATCTCAACTACTACATTTTATGTTTTTATTTATTTACAAGTGTAAAATAAATGATCTAATTCTTTTGTTTATTTGATAACTCGAGAGATAAAATTATCAGATTTTAGTATAAAAACACTCGTTGAAAAAATTTCACTCTAATGTTATCTTATTTATAGTCACTCCACCGTCGAATGCATCATTTTTATGGGATGAATTGCAAAACTG